CCAATGGATAGTTATATTGTAAGTTGAGTTGTTGATGACATGAACCACAAGAGTATCGCCTTCTCTAACGTTTATTGTTGGACCGGGAAGGCTTCCGTTAACACTCGGTATCATTTGCTCTTTGCACAACGGTTTCACCAAGACGTTTTTCACCTGTTGTTAGAAGCCGTTAATATCTCCAATTGTTTGCTTCTCTAAAAAATATTTCATATATATTTCATCTCTCTCATTTTGTTATCTATTGTTAACAATACTCTTTATTTTTCCAAATTTACAAGTTACCCACTCATTTTATTTTTAATAATAATTTAACTAAATAACAATTTTATCTAAATTAATATATGAGTAAATTTACATTACAAAACATATATAGAAAAGAAAAAAAATCAATAACAATAATTAACTATAAACTTTAGTTTTACATCTTGAATTACAATAATAAAAATTATATTTCGTCTTGAATTACAGTAGTTGTGACTTGTAAGCATGTTGAAAAAACATATACAAAATTGAATGTTTATAGAATTTTGTTCATACTAATAATTTTTTTATTAAGTTACGTAGCATGTTTTTTTGGATAAAAGTTACTATGGTTTATGTATTTATAAATATTTTGGTTTCGATAATTTAGTTCCCTGCATGATGCAAACGACACCTACTATTTTAGTTTTAAATGGCAAGAAAACACAAGCATGCGTACCATTTTTTCAGTTTTCAGACAACAATGACATGTATTATATTAAAATATATAGTATATTATGCATATAAAGTAATGGAATATTGTAAAGTCGTTGAGTTGAATTATTCTCATTGTTACTATTGGGATCGAGGAGATGGACCGAGATTGAATGGTCAAAATAACCAACCAAGATTATGGAAATATAGTCAATATCGAAAATTTTGAAAGTTAATATTTGTGTATAAATATCAAATATGTAAACAAGTTATATTCTTGTATAATAGGCCTATTGGCTAATCAATAAAACTGAGAGAAACTATTATATTTCTAAAGTTTCTTCCAAATCTATCATAGTATCAGAGCCTTGATCTAATTCCTATGGATTACGGTTTTTCGTTTGCTTCCGTTACTTTAAATTTAAAAAAAAAATCATCTTTCTTCTCTTTGACCTCCTTCTACATTTTTTCCTTCTTTTCTTATTTGATCCCTTC